AGGAAACGCCAGGTCGCGGAGTGCAGTAAATGTGCTGCGGTAGCTGGGTCGGCTCCGGGCGACTTTTATCGCTCCCGTCGTAATCGGCAACGAGGGGTGGAAGGTCAGCCCGGGTGTCTTGACGTTCCCGGGCGAGATAATACGAGTATTTACGGCTTATCAATTTTCCTTTGTCCCTCTTAATGCGCGCCCGGCGCAGTTCGTTATCGCCGGCGTGCACGCGCGCGAGCTCGGTATATGGACCAGTTCGCTCGCTTTCACGTCACGCCGAAAAATAAAACTGCGTATTACACGAGGTATCACGGATGTTCGGAACGCCCGACTAACGGTACGTCGCTGAAAAAAGAAGAGAGAGAAACTTATTCACGATAAGGAGCGTACATAACGATAAGCAAATCGAGACAAGTTACTTACTTAACGCCGCGGAATAGCGTGTCAACAATGTACGCATAAAACTATACGTTTGACGATGACGTGAGGGAGTGAAAGAGGAAATTCAATCCACGGAAAAGAAACTGTGGCTGCCGCTAAAAACTGCATGTGACAACTGAATTGCAGTTGTAAAATATGAACAGCTAATATTTAGTCATGATAGCTAAACACTTTGCTACTGTGCTTATTGCATTAGGTGCGGCAGCAAACCGTTTGCTGTGGTTTAAAAATTATTAGTTATGGCAGCAAAATATTTTTAGCAAATCGTGATTAGCTTCGGTGGCGAACTTTTTTTCAGTGCACCTTCAGATTTTTTAGCATAACTTTGGTCAAAGCGCGTCGAATGTCTTCAAAATTTTACAGTATCACGGAAAGAAAAATGTAATTGCCGCTAAAAACTGCATGTGACAACTGAATTGCAGTTGTAAAATATGGACAGCTGATATTTAGTCATGATAACTAAACACTTTGCTACTGTGCTTATTGCATTAGGTGCGGCAGCAAACCGTCTGCTGTGGTTTAAAAATTTATAGTTACGGCAGCAAAATATTTTCAGCGAACTATGATTAGCTGCTGTAGCGAGTTTTTAATGAAAAACAGGGACACTCTTATTATTTTCACTAAATATAATTTCGCAAGATGCAATATTTCACGGCATTCTGGTTTATAAAAAGAAATTAGTGCGCGATAAATATTTACCAACTTTTTTCTCAATGTATTTACCGGGTCAATATTATGGTACACTGTATACAGAAATCTTAGAAAGAAGAGAATTCATAAAATTAATCGTCTGCGTCTCATGCGTCGATAAAAGCCAGGAAACATTTAAAACTAAAACTTTTAAAAATAAGCGACAGTCGTTTTTAGAAATGCGAAGGAAGTTATTTTTACCTCCTTGGTAGTTCCACAGTTTGACTTTCTCGGTGGCGTTTTTTTTATTTAAACCTCAATTATAAGACGCATCAATTCGCGTTTGATGGCTGCTCGTCAAAATTCCCGTGAGAAAAAATTGACATTTAACTAAAGGCACGCGTTAGGAAGCGTCAAATCATTTTCGTAATCTCTACCAGTTTCGCACGTAGGAAGCGCGTGTCAAGGCAGTCTTCTTTTTTGGAAGGACAAAAAAATTCGTTAATATTTATCACGCATTTATTTCTTTTTATAAATCAGGATGTTACGAAATATTACGTTTTGCGAAGTTATATTGAGTGAAAATAATAAGAGTGTTTCTTCATTAAAAACTCTTCCCCCCCCCCTCTCTCTCTCTCAATGTTTTATTAATTTCCAGATGATTTTTCGCCGGTATCCTCGACCTGATTAAATTCCTACGCGAGATCCGTTCGTCGGTTTATCTCGGCTAGAACGCAGAGGAGTTGCGATCGTCGTGATTTCGCGGCCGGAATGCCGTTCCCCCCCAAGATATCGGGCAATATACGGGAATACATATACCGGTCAGTTGTTCGCCCGGCCGCGACGCGCAGCGCGCAGCGACGTAACAAAGAACCGAATCGATTACGATCTTATTACGTAAATCAATGAAAGCGCGATTTCGTTTGACGCCGCCGCCACCGTGACGCTCCGCGAAACGACGGCCGTTTATGTGGATGCGCGCCCGCGCGACCGCTCCGGCAAGGAAGTGTCAAACTAGATAAGCGCGCGGCCACGTTCAATTACTTCCGTTTACCACGGATGCGGCCACGCTCCACGCGTTTGAGTCGCGTCGCCGATAGAAGATCAGCTCATCTCCCGAGATTGTACAGGGCGGTCCACAGGCCGCCGTCCGCCCGTCTCTCGCGCCTCTCGCACAGCCCTCTTCCTCGTCTCCGCCTTTCGGACGGCGCCGATTAACAGCTGGAGCGGTTAAATAATTAACGCGTTGCGTAAGGTTCGGAAAAATCCAGATATATACATACGAGTGAACGTAAGAGGCTCACGTAATTAATAAATCGCTAGATGAATATCAGAACTACAACGAGGTGTTCGTGTCATAATATTTTACGACACGAAATTCTGTGCACACGCAGATGTCAGATAGTTTCTTTCCCAATTAAGTAAACTGCCCGCCGATTATTTATTTGTCGTGAAACACAGCTCTCGTTAGAATGATAAATCCACGTGCTTAAATCGATTTAATTTTTTATGAGCAGCACCTGAACCCTAGTAGTACAGTGCGTTGGCTAAACATCGGCTAAACGTTGGTCCAATCCCGAGTCGAAATTTTCGCCCTATGTTGAACCTTTAATTTTATTATATAGCAGGACCTAAGACAGTAAAAAAAGAGGTCGGATTGCAAGTACAAAATTTACTCCTACTTAAAAACTGATAGCGTCGGAAATTTCTACTTTTGCCAATTTAGCATTAAAGCAGGTCCTTTTAAGTAGGAGCCAGAGTAAATTTTTAGAATTAAAGATTCAAGGGAGGAGTAAAAAAATATTATGTCATCAAAAGGTTATTGCTGGTCTATGTAGGTGTATAGATCAGCTAAGTAAATGTAAATTGTCCTTAAAAGTATCAAAATAGCACCAAAATTTCGACTTGGGATGTAACCAAAGTTTAGCCAGCGCACTGTGCTGCTGCACGGAGAGATTTTTCTCTGAAAATTTATCCTGAAAATCAGGTAATCGTGGGACAACGCGGCATTTCGAAGAATTTTATGGGAGTTTTTTAAAATTTGCCCGCACATCTTACTAGTAATTATAACAATACTGAGAATCTTTTCTTCGCCAGCGGTTAGTTGAAATAAAAACGTGATGGGGAAAAATCGACGTATCTGGCAATACTTTATTAAAGGAGTTACACAACGTTTGTCTGACTTTAGAATGTAATCAAGACGCTTTTCACTTGAAAAGGACCGGAATTCTCGGTCGAAACGTTGTGTAATTCCGTTAATAAAGTATTGCCAGTTACGTCGAATAATTTTTCCTATTACGTTCTCATTTCAACTAGTAATTATACTTAGTATGCATTCGATTGGTAAGTTGTACGGCGAAATTTAAGGAAACTCTCGTAAAGTTCTTCAAACGCCACGTTGTCCCACGTTTACGCGATTTTTAGGGTAAAAGAAAATTCTCCCCGTGCAGGGAAAGCACTGTATAAAGATTTATTGCGGAAGACATTGCATCGTCCGGAATTTGTACGATTAAAAAAGACGAAAGATAACGGGATAAGCGAGGAGAGAAATCTCTGTTAATTCGTAAACTCTTCGTACGATCGGGGCCAAATATTGTAGTTACTCTCTAAAATCCTACAAAAAGTATGAGCTACCGCGCTGTTGAATTTGACACGAGAGGTAGTCGCGACTTCTTCCACTCAATATGCCGTCACGTTTAACTATCACGTCTGGTCAAATTTATTATTTTAATACAAATTGTAGTTCCAAATACACCTACGTGTTACATTCTTCTCATTTTATGGTTTCTTTTAACCCCAATGTTCAATTGAATTAACGACGTATTGGCATGGGAGCAGTGGCACTGCTCGACGAGTCAAATTTCACTTCTGGACACCCTCCCTCAGACTTCGTCCTCTGTGTGACAATTTAAGTTCAAGTTTTCAAGTGGTTCATTAATTTTACGCGCGTAGACGAATTAATTGTATTGTCTAACTTCACATTTCCGGTAAATGCGGATGTTCTAGATACGAGAAGGCAACACTGGGAAAAATGTCCATCGGTTCCGATTACGTTTTCCGATTAAATTATGGATACGTCCGATGAAATTTATCCGATGAAGTGCTGCAGTTACCGATGAAATTTCATTGAAAAGCCGATCATATTTTTCATCGGATATACAATTTAATCGGATATATCCGTTTGTTATCATGTAATTGGATTATCCGATTATATTTAATCGGACATTTTTCTCAGTGAATGCCGAACACCTTAAGCTAGTTAAATACAAAAGAGCTTAAGGATAAGAAATGTACTACATAATATTTCGCGGGCGGCCGTTCGCGAACAAGAGCGGCAGCAAATCGCCGTCCGCTGATATCGGTAAAAGATATTTAAAAAAAAACAAACAAACAAACGGAGGTATTAATTTTTTAAGCGGCTTGCGGGAGCTTTCGGACGGCACCGCGGCTTTCTCTCGGCGAACGGGGAAACGGACTCCGGATTCGGGTGAGGCAATTTTGCGAAATTGACGAAACGCGAAGCGGACCGCGCTGCTCCTCTCCGCGACGCTTCCCGCGCGCGGATCACCCGCGTACGCACTTACGGCTTGCGCGCGCGGTGAGTGGACGAGCGGAGCGGACGCGCGCCGCGCCGCGCCGCGCCGCGCGCTCCACGGCTAGCAGGCACGAGGGCGAGCGCGAGCGTGAGCAGGTACGAGCGGAATCTCGAGCGACGCGCCGAGCAGTTCGTATCCCGCTTCCCGCCGACGACGTTCGGCACCGCGGCCGCCGCTCGCCTTCTTCACGCTCGCCTCGGCAAAACGAATCCTCGATCGACGATCATGACACGCGGACGGACGAGGACGTGCAGGTGAAAGACGTTTTTCCCCCCCCGCGCTTTTCCCCCCGCGCTCCCCCCTCCCCCCGCCCCGGCAGTCCGACCGAAGAGGACGAGAGAGGGACACGCGGCGAGGCGCCGCCGCGGGAAGAAGGAAGAGGAGGGATAAGAAAAGGGAAGAAGATAAAACGGGGGAGGAGAGAGAGAAGAAAAGGATCGATATCGGCTCGGATACCGCCGGAAGATCTTAGTTGGTGGTGACAAAGTTTATTGTGGCAAGAGAGAGAGAGAGAGAGTTTGTGGAAGAGTTTTTTTACGCGCTTCCGGCCCGAATCGAGGAGCACAAGGTAATTGTTCGCCGGCGGATCGATCTCTTTGGATCTCTGCGCGATCTCGCGACGACTGCAAGTGCGCGAGTGAGCCCGGAGCGCGCTCCTCTGCTTTCTCTTCGCGCCTCCCGTTAGAATCTTTGGTCCTTTCCGATCGACCGCGTCCTTCCGGCCGAAAACGCGGGAGGACGCGGCAAGTCGCCTTTTTTTTTTACGAGGACAACTTTTGCGGATTCGTATATATATGTAATTTTGGTTTTTCAAATCCTCCTCGCGCGCGACGTCGTGAAAGTAGATAAGACGTAATTGGAGGAAGCACGGGAGACGAAGGAACGCAATTAATACGCCGATTGAATATACCGATTTGCACATAATGCACAGCTCTTCCTCTTATCTCAACATCCTCCGCTACTTTTGGAATCTGAAAGACGATATGGGTCTACGTGCTCGCGCTTTTGAGGAGAGAAAGCAGAATGGAAATAATTTGTAGAAAGCGACGACGAGGAAAACGCGACTTGCCGCGACTCGCGGCAATTAACGGGCTCGGATTAATTGCACAATTCGTATATTGTTCGGCGAGCAATGACGCCTAAGCGAGCCGCAATCGTCCATCAGGCCGTCCGTAACGTTCGTTACGGAGTTAACACGCGACCACGATTACGGTGCAACCGGGGGGGGGGGAAAAAAAAAACGTAACGCCTGGCACTCGCGCGGTCGAATTGCCGATGGGCCGAGTTGAATTTTCCCTCCGAAGCTTTGCGAAACTCTCAAGTTCCCCAGCGCGTTCCGGCGTGGAAGGCAGCAAAGTCGCACTTTGCCGAACGTATTTCCAAGAAAATTCGGGAAAACTAATTAATAATCTAATTCGCGTTGCGTTTTCTCGTTAAAGTGTCCCTCTAAAACTCGCGGAAGTGCGTTCCGTGTAAACAGGAAGTGCTTTTGTACGATTATGTTATGCCCGCGCAGTTTAGTGCAAGCCTTAGTCATCGTTTACGGTGTTATAAGCCCCGCCGTCGACTCACTTTCGTGTTAACTCATTGTCTCAGAACCACTTATTATCTTATTAGAGGCCATTGTACCGTCTCTAAATAATAAAATGACGGCGGCCGTAGTGGGAATGGGTTGTTTCGAGGATCCACGGAAGTCGGCTTTTGCGGAGAAAAGAAGCAATCCCGCGTGTCACGCAGGATGCGCGAAATTAAATACGCCCTCGTGCCGGTGGTACGAATTTTTTGTGAGACGAGAAAACTTTCCGAGACCTCGCGCGTACGTCAAGACGAATCGCGCGAAATGGATTATCAGCGAAATCCCCTTTGGCTTTGAACTCGGGTGCAATCGTAAAGCCTGAGGAAACCGCTGTTATATGCAAAATCAATACCGTGCTGTGCGTATACGGTGCCGGTCAAAGTTATATCAGCTTCCGGTTTTTCTAGCGAAACTAGTTTCAAAGTGCACGAATAAAAAGTTGGAAAGTCGTGGTGTATTTTGTCAAATTTTATTGCCCTTCATGTACAAGATGTTGTCAGGTACATCGCTGAAAACAAAATTTTCACCGCCGGAGCTAATCATGGTTTGCTGAAAATATTTTGCAGCCATAAACTTTTAACGCACAGCAAACGGTTTCCTGTCGCACTTAATACAACGGGCACAGCGGCAAAATATTTAGCTATCACAACCAAACATTAGTTGTCCATTTTTACAACTAAAATTTAGTTGCCGCATACAATTTTTAGCGGCAGCTACATTTTTCTTTCCGTGATGCTGTAAAATTTTGAAAACATTCGATGCGCTTTGAGGAAAGTTACGCTAAAAGAATCTGAAGACTGAAAACAATTTTCGCTACCGAAGCTAATCATGGTTTGCTGAAAATATTTTGCTGCCATAAATTTTAACGCACAGCAAACGGTTTCCTGTCGCACCTAATACAATGGGCACAGTAGCAAAATATTAGCTACCATAACTAAATATTAGCTATCCATATTCTACAACTGAAATTTAGTTGCCACACGCAGCTTTTAGCTACGGCAGCTACATTGTTTTTTTTTTCCGTGTGATAATGTTGGCCGGTGCTGAATATATACATAATATAGCAGAGAGATTACGTGTTTAGTACAATTAGTTACAGTTGTAATAACTGCGTCGCCGATTACTTATCAGCTAGTAGCAGAAAAGCTATTTAGTATCAGTTTGAACGTAAAGTCCAAAAATGTCAATGGAGATACGTTGCTTCCCCCCCCTTCCCTCCTTCCTTTTTCCTTCTTATCCGCACGCGTAATCTCGAGCTGCGAATAATATTTACGCCTTATTCCGGTCACAATCCGCGCATTTCGCAACGGCGGGGCGTAGAGATCGCATGCGGCCGTAGAGAGAAAAAAAAAGTATCGCTCTCCAACAGCGGGTCAATCAACCGCGCACTGTTGATATATTCCTTGAACATCACCGTCCCCGTAACAAATTGTTGACCTCGGAGGGTCGGTGGGGAATTGCATATTACTGATCGGCAAATCCGTAGCGAGGGGACGCGCATGCTGATATTCGCAAGGGCCTCCTCCATCGATCGTTTTCGTCGCACCGAGAAAATCATTCCAGAGAGAGAGAGAGAGAGAGAGAGAGAGAGAGAGAGAGAGAGAGAGAGAGAGAGAGATTTTGATTTTCCCGCATTCACGAAAATTATTTCGACCAGCGTCAGGACAGCTAATTCGGGGATTATAGCCGGCTGTTCCTCCTTCTCGTTAGCACTTGAACAATTTCGGTTTGTAAATATGTCGTGATATATTTAAAAAATAAAACTCTTTTCAAGGCGCAACGCTGACGAGTTTCCAGTCACAGTAAAAAAATACAATGTTAACGTTAACATTTTTCACATGTCCCAAACAGTCCACTCTAAATTTTCGATTGAAATAACGTTCATCGCGTGCGTTGCTTTTTGACAAATTATAAATGTTAATTAATTAACACTGTACTTCAGACTTATGTTCTTTTAACGTTAAGTGCGATGCAATAAAACAGACAGAATAAGTAAACTGTACGAATAGTTACAAATTAGAACAGTTGAAGTAATTTTTAAGAAATGTCGACGCTACACTGAGAAAATTTTTCATCGGATAAACCTATTAAACAGTGTTTCCGATGGTTAATTTTTCCGATTACGTTTCCCGATTAAACTGTGGATACGTCCGATGAAATTTATCCGCTGAAACGCGCAGTTACCGATGAAATTTGATTGAAAAACCGATCACATATTTCATCGGATACACAATGTAATCGGATATGTCCGTTTGTTATTATGTAATTGGATTATCCGATTATATTTAATCGGACATTTTTCTCAGTGTACGTGTTTCGGTTGATTTTGTGAAATAGCTGTGTTAACAGAACCCGAGATAATATTCAATTTTTAAATGACATGCATAAAGTGTCAAGCTATTATGTTAACATAAATGTAACACACAAAACTGTTGCGGAAATAATATCTTATCGGTTTTACGTTAATTTTACATTGAAATAATAATGAAATGTTGGTAACACAAGGAAATCTTGACATTTCAACACATGATATTTTTACTGTGTTCGTAAACGAGAGAGTCTCCTCGACGGACTGTTGAATTCGAATAAGATCTACTTCTGCCGTTCGCGAGATACGGTACAAGGTTATTGATTGAAATCGAAAGGTCAGACCTCGCGCGACGAGGGAACCTGATGAATCTCTGCGAAAGTAAAATTACCCGTCAGGTGGTCTCGATCGGAATGTAGGATCAGTAAACAGCAAGAGAGTCATTAAGAAATGGAGACATTTATACGCCGCGATATTTTATATACAATAAAAAAACCGGTTGTAGCGATCAATCAAAACGTCAGGCAGTAATTTCAATGCGCTGACCACACCGAGCGCGATGGGGAATGTCGCGCGGTGTCGCGTCCTCCACGCGGACAGAATTTTTCTCGGAAAATTTACTTTGAAAATATATCTTGCCTCTATCTATGAGACGCAGCCTTTCTCTTGATGGTACACGGAGATAATTTTCTCTTGAAATTTATCCTGAAAATCGTGTAATCGTGGGCCAACGTGGCATTTTCAACAACTTTATGAGAGTTTTTCGAAATTTTACTAGTAGTTATACTTGGCATGCATTTCATTAGCACAACACTGAGAAAAATTTCTATCGGATAAACCAATTAAATAGTGTTTCCGATGGTTAATTTTTCCGATTAAATTATGGATACCTCCGACAAAATTTGTCCGATGAAATGCAGTTACTGACGAAATTTTATTGAAAAACCGATCATATTTTTCATCGGATATACAATTTAATTGGACATATCCGTGTGTTATTATGTAATTGGATTATCCGATTATATTTAATCGGATATTTTTCTCAGTGTACAATGTATGGTAAATTTTAAGAAAACTCTCATAAAATTCTTGGAAACGTCGTGTTGTCCCACGATTACACGATTTTCGGGAATGAGAAAATTCTTTCCGTGCCTCCATCCGCCAGTCACTCTGAATTTATCGCGATCCATCCACCGGCTCGATTTACTGCGACTATCGTCCGGAGATAATCTCTTTTTTTCTTTCGTCAAAGCACCGCCGTATTCGCCGTCCGTGTCCATCGCGCGCAGCGATTCCACCGCGCCTCGACCGGCGATCGCCGGACGCAACTGGAGCGAGTGCGAAATTCGTTTTCGCGTGCTGTCTCCCGGCGAAACCGCGGCGGAGCCGTGCGTGAGATCGGACGAGCCAGGGACTCGACTCCTCAATTCATTCCAAGGAGAAACGAAGATTCTGGGCTCCTACAGAAAAGTTGCAAGTTGATTGGCTATTCGTACGGTTTTCAGCCCATCGACTTTCAACACTTTTCTGTAAGAGTAAAAATTTCACATACTTACGTTTCTCCTTCGATTGAATTCAAGAGTCGGGTCCCCGGAGCGAGCGCGTATAAATTATGTTCGATGCGTTCGCGCGGCGGACAGTGTTTTCTGGAGGATTCAAATGGACCGCGACGCGCGCGCGGGGA